TTCAAATTGGTTGTTTGGTGACCGCTGCCAGCAGAGTCGGCCTTCCTCTGCTGGCCATGTGGCTGGGGAAGGAAGGCAAACACAGAAATCTGCTCCAGAGCCCGGGTCGGTGGACAGGATGAGCAGGGACTGGGGGCCTGGTGACAGAGACCTCAAATACCACTGCCAGATCTTTGGGAGGCCTGAACCCCTGGAGCTTTCTGGGGACTGAAGATACTCCTGACTGACATCTGGAAAGGCCAAGTTCTAGGGTGCCGCACTGAAAAGGCCTCCCCGGGTGGCATCAGCCTGTGGAGATTATAGAACCCCGTGCCTCTGTTCCCACCTATCCTGTGTGTTCTGACCTGGACGGACATCCAGGACAGCACTGCTCAACCCTCTTGGTGTCCAGGTCCCTGGGACAGAGCCTCACTGCCTCAGACAGCTGACCTTACCCCCAGGCCCTTCTGATAACGCTTTGCTTTCCTACCTCTTCCCCTGTGTATCTCAACCGCACAAATGCGCCAGCTCTTGTTATACTTAACAGTTCCTGCTGTGGTTTGGGGATTTTTTTTTTAATTAAATAAAAGTTTTTATTATAAATAGAACATCTGTTCAGAGTCTTCTAAGTAGAAGACTGCAAAGGCACCCGTGATCCCCTCTACCCAACCCAAGTGTTGCTAGATTGTGTTTCCTTCAGTGAATCTGGATTGTTTTCTTTTAAGACTGTGTTACAGCTAGGTGTGATGGAATACACCTGTAATAGCAGTGCCAGGTGAGATAGAGAGGCAAGAGAATCACAAGTTCAAGGCTAGCCTTGGCTGCATTGTGATTTTTGACACCAAGTTGGACTTCATGAGACCCCATCTTGAATAGAAAAGTTAGGCTTTTTCATTGAAGAGTTTAGTCATTCCCCCCCCCCTTTTTTTTCCTTTAGGATTAAAAATGGGGGGGGGCGATCTAAAGAACAGCCATAATTTACTGTGTTCTCTTTATTTCACTTAAACTGTCTCATTTAATCCCTGACACTCCTTTGAGGTACAGACGATCTATTTCCATTTTTACAGAAGAAATGGGCAGTTTGGGGCGAAGCAAGTCACCCAAGTTTGTGTGGCCATGTTAGTGGCGGGATGGGATTTGAACCAAGTTTGCTGACTCAAGACACCTCGTTTACATTCTAGTTTTAGTGTTTCATGGAGTTTAAAGACAAGCTTCTCTGTTTCTCCATCCTCCTCCTAAGAGATGACTCTGGCACTGAATGATATGTTCTCAGTCCTTTGCCTTCTATAGCCTTGTCCTGACATCACCCTGAACCAATACAGGACACTTCCGGGGACAGATGGAACACTGAACCTTGTTTATTTTGGTAGGATGGCAAGGGAAACTGGGGACTCGGTGCTCCCTGAACACCCCTCTCCCACATCACAGCTCCCTTGGGGGTGGATTTGTCTGGCCCTTAAAAACAGCAGCTGGACCAGTGTTCACTTGTTCTAGGGTTAGACCAAGAATAGAGCTAACCCGAACAGTACCTGACCCTGAGACACAGGCCGGGGCCCTTGGTTGGCACTGTTCCCAGCAGAGGCCCTTGGGGATCAATGGCTCCTTGTCAATCTTTGGCTCTAGTACATCTGTCTGACTCACATTGACACCAGCTAAAGAGTTGGAAGTGAGCTCAGGGGTGCATCTCCATCCATTGGCTGCTTTTTCCCTTTCCTAGTAAAAGTCTCCTACATAATTGTAATTATGTACATTTACAATTAAGTTACAAATATATATATACATGTATAGCACACAGCATAAGTTACAAATATATATATATATATATATATATATATATATATACATACATACATATGGCAGCACATAACTTTAATCTCAGCACTTGGGAGGTAGAAGCAGATCTCTTTAAGATCGAGGCCAGCCAGGGTTACATAGTGAGATCCTGTCTCTAAAAAACAAAACAAATATAGCACATAGAGCTTTCAGCTACCCTTGACCTAGCCCAGTGGGAATATCTTACACAAAATGGTGCTTTCATCACTACCAGTACCTTAATGTTACTGTACTCCTACCCAGGAAGCCACAGCTTCATTGGAATTTCACCTGCATTCCCACTGATACCCTCCTTGTGTCCCAGGGCCTAGAAATGCCTGTGTTGGGTCTACATTGTGTCTGTGACTCCCCCGAAGTCATTCAAGGAGCTAGAAGCACCAAGCCCCATCCTCCCAGTGCCTTTCTTATCCATCTCTTCTTTGGCAGGAGGCAGCATTTGCTACATGGTAAAGGACTCTAGCATCCCAGACATCCTTGCCTCATCCTGCCTGCCCAGCCTTGTCCCCATGTCCCTGGCTCTGCCAACACAGATCTCCCTGCTCACACATGTGCACAAACACACCCTAAGGTGGCCTGCTCCCACCGGTTCTGGGAGAGGCCATGCTTGTCCATGGCTGCCCACTCCAGGAGTTTTCTCTGCCTCAGAGGATGGAAGACACACTTCGAGGGGTCTGCCTCTGCCTTCCCCCCTGTCTCATGGTCCCCTCTCTGTCCAGGACTCACATGTCCCTGACCACTGCTCTTTTCCCCAGGGCCTCGAGAAATCCAACCTTTTCTGTTGCCTCCCAAAGCATTCTGGGAAGGACTATACCCCCTTCCAATGCCTTCTGTGGGTCCCATTCACAGTGTATAAAGGGCTTTTGGTGTTCTATTGCTTCGGTGTGGCTTATGACAACGCAATCAGGCCCTCCACATCAGAGGAGTGTTTTCCCATCCCCCACGATAATGGGGGAATGGAACTGCGGTTGTGGCAGCCTTTGCTCTTCCAGGCAGTTAGGCTGTCTGCTGTTTATCTTAGGACGTCTCTGCAGCTCTCCCAGCCTGCCCAGACATGACCTCACCTTCTCCCAAATCGTCCCTGGGAGGCAAAACGGAGTCTCTGACCAGTGCTGCCTCCACTTCACAGATGGGACAACTGAGGCACCGAGCGAGGAGAGATCTAAACAAAGAGGGAGGGGGAGAGGAGAGGAGAATAAGAGGAGGGGAAGGGGAAGGGAGGAGGGGAGAAGGGGGGAGAGAGTAAGGAAGAGGAAGGAAGGGGAGGAAAGGATTTTTTTTTTTTAAAGATTTAATGGATACGAGTACTCTAGTCTTTATGCACACCAGAATAGGGCATCAGATCCCATTACAGATGGTTGTGAGCCATCATATGGTTGCTAGGAATTGAACTCAGGACCTCTGGAGAGCAACCAGTGTTCTTAACCACTGAGCCATCTCTCCAGCCAGTGAGGAAAGGATTTTAACAAGTGGATCTGCACCCTGGGACCTGATCTTGCCTTTCTGCCAATGACTTCAGTTATTCAGAGGTGGAAGGTCTACAGTATCCTCAAGCCAGAGATGTTCAAGTGTCTCAAAATACTGTGGGCCACTTGGTAGGTAGGTCCCACCTCACATTGAGGGTGTCTCCAGGGAGTTTGCAATCAGCCAGCAGCAGCAGGGAGAAAGACTAGGAGACCAGTCCCGTGGGGCTGAGATCCAAAGAGCACAGAGGGTTTGTTTGTTTGTTTGTTTGTTTGTTAGTTTTGTGGTGCCGAATATTGAACCCAGGGCCTTGTGCATGGTAGGCAAAGACTCTACTGCTGAGCTACACTCCCCAGTTTTTTCGGGGGGGGGGGGGGGGGGGGGGGAGGGAAGATGTTCTATGAGCTGACCTTTGTGTAGCCACAAAGGCAGACGCTTTGAGATCCTACCTGGAGAATAGGTGGGCTGCCTGTGACCATGCTCAGATAGTCCACAGCTCCTCCCCAGGCCATCTTGGCTTCTCAACAACCACGGAGAAGGAGGGCTGTTACAGACCTACTGCCCAGATGAGGACATTGAGGCCACCCAGGGCACAGAGCAAGCCAGCCAGCAGTGGCTGGATGTCTGGCTGAAACTCCAGAGCTTTGTCAGCACCACCAAGCCACTGTCCCCCAAAGAAGGTACACAGAGCCAGCAGGAGGGAGGAGGAGGAAGGAGGAGGCTATGATGGGGTGAGGAGCCCAGACTTGGCCTGCTTTGTGGATTCCTCCCAGCTGGCCCTGCCTTCCTGTCCTGAGCGGAGGTTAAAGACGCTCAGAGGAGGAAAGGTCAGGCTGGGAGAGAAGCAGGAGCTGGCCAAAACAACCCACACCCTGTTCCCCATGGCCAGGCCCTGCACGCTGGCTAGGAGGGCACCACTTCTTAGGATGCAGTCTGCTGCACAAGCTACATGAGAAATGCATCCAGCACGGGAAATCTGATGAAGGCTGCATTGCTGATTCTGAACTCTTTTTTTCATCCCCCGGTCGCTTCCTCTCATCCCCAACCTTGTCCCACCTGGACCATACCAGGCCGGTCCCATCCCTCCTCTGAGCTCTGTCAATCACTTTTTTTTTTTCCCCCCAAAGCGATCCTTTAGCCTATGACCCGCCTATGACTTTTAAATTGCCTGTGTCCCTCGATCTATACAGATCGGAATCTACCACGCAACTTTATGTACCCCGACCACATGACGTTCGGAACATTTTAACGAAGTCATATAAAGTTATTAGGGGCCTATTCGTCTTGAGCGCTTCTCCGGCTTGTTTATGAGAAAAGCTGGACAGTGGGAGCAAACGGCGGAGCCGAGGCCTCCGTAATGTCATCAGAGGAGTGACGCCATCGACCCTGGTAGCGGTGTTGTTCAGCACCCTTCAGGCAGGATGACATCACCGTCGGAACCCGCGCGGACAAGTGCGTAGTGGGTGAATAAGCTAAGAGCCGGGCAGAGTGCGGAGTGAGCCGCCAGCGACTAAAACCGGGTAGAGGCGGGGACAGAGGGAGGATCCCCGGAGCCCCGCCCACTCGGTCACCGCCGGGAGCTGGCCAATCCGGGCAGGCCGCGGTGATGCGCAGCCTATCAGCGGTCAGATCTCCCCCGGAGGTTCCGCGTTAGCTTTGGCCCTCAAGGCAGGGGAGGGGGCGAGGGTGCAGCGGCCCCACCGCGGCTCAGGTCCCCGCCGTCTGCCTTCGGGGGGGAGGGGGCGTGGGGGAGGGGAGCCTGGCGTGTCCCCCGGCTGGCCACCTCCCCGGAGACCTTATGGCCATGGAAGGTCTGGCGGCGGCGCTGGCCACCGTGCTTGGGGGGAAGGGGTTGCTGGTGCAGAGCTGTGACTCGGAGCCGGCTGGCAAGCCGCTGTCGCCCGTGCGGCTACGGAAGAATGTCTGCTACGTGGTGCTGGCCGTGTTCCTCAACGAGCAGGTGAGCGTCCGGCCAGCCGGCCTTCCGGCTGGTCTCGGGACCGCGCCGCCAGCCCCAGTGGGAACAGGCAAGCCAACGGCCGCTACCTGTCCGTGGCGCTTCCCATGTGTTGCAAAGCACTCACACCAGCAGCTATGCTGAGAACGTCCTTATAGAGTCTGTAATACTGAGGGAGAGGCCTAGGCCCCGGGGCGGTTTGTCTCACCCACTAGACCTCGCCCCTACCGGGAGAGGCCTGTAGTACGTATGTCTCCTTCCTTACCAGGGGCAGTCTGGCACAGTGCCTGGCGCGCAGGGCCGTTTCCTAGACCCTCCGCGCCCCATGGGTAGTGATGGGGAGATTACATGACACACAGGCCTTCTGAGAGTTCTTCTGAGTGATTGTCTCCGTACAAGTTCATCATAATAACATCCTGGCCAAGTAGGGTTAGGTTGGTGTAGAGGTGGAGCCGAGAGTCAAAGCTTCAGACCCTAGATTGGGGACCTGACACAAGCCGGTTTAAAAGACCCATGGGAACAACAGCAACGCAGTGGCATAGATGAGTCAGAATAGGAGTGGTGGCAACCTTCAGGATGGGGCCTCCGTGGAGCAACGCCCAAAGACCTCAGCCCCTTCCTACCACAGAAATCCCTCTGCATCCAAAGTTGAGTTAGAGCAAAGAGGTGGCAGCCACGCCAGGGCCTGGCTCCTGAGGTTCCAGCATCCTGGAGGTGTCTTGTCTACCAAGAAGCCACCATCCAGGTAGGCCCCGGACTGGCTGGATAGGAGTGAAGATGGTCTTGCTTCCCTCTCAGGATGAGGTGTTGATGATCCAGGAGGCCAAAAGAGAGTGTCGGGGGGCATGGTACCTCCCGGCAGGGAGGATGGAGCCAGGGGAGACCATCGTGGAGGCCATGCAGCGGGAGGTGAAGGAGGAGGCTGGGCTGCTCTGTGAACCCGTCACACTCCTGTCTGTGGAGGAGAGGGGCACCGCCTGGATCCGCTTTGTATTCCTTGCTCGACCCACAGGTACAACCCACCTGGTGGCGTTCTGGCACCTTTCCCACGGTTTGTTCTCCTTGGTGGACCACACTGTGGCTCCTGCAAAGTGCCATTGACCTGTTACATGCTAAGAGCTTGGGGGTCTCCCCATGGGGTGATTGGGTGGCCATTTACTCTCTCAGACTCAACATTTCTCATACTGGCCCTCTCCCCGCCCCTGCCCCCGCACCTCCCCTAGGAGGAGTTCTGAAGACTTCCAAGGACGCTGATGCTGAGTCCCTACAGGCTGGCTGGTACCCACGGGTCTCCCTGCCCACTCCGCTTAGAGCCCATGATGTTCTGCAGCTGGTAGAGCTGGGTGCCAAATTCTGCCAACAAGCCATGCACCCTCTCATTCTGCCTCAAGAGTTTCCTTGCAGTGTGGTCTGCCAGCGGCTGGTGACCACCTTCACAACGGTGCAGTCGGTGTGGGTGTTGGTGGGCGCTGTGGGAACACCTCACCTGCCCATTACTGCCTGTGGCTTTACCCCTATGGAGCAAAGGGGTGGTATCAAGGTGGCCATCTTGAGGCTGCTACAGGAATGTCTGACTCTGCACAGCTTGGCAGTGGAGACCAAAGGGTTGCTTGGACTGCAACATCTAGGGAGAGACCACGTGGATGGTATCTGCCTGAATGTGCTGGTGACGGTGGCCTTTCGGAACCCAGAAATCCAAGATGAACCCCCAAAGATTCGGGGTGAGAACTACTTTTGGTGGAAGGTATTGGAGGAAGATTTACAAAAACAGCTTCTGAACAGAGTCCAGGCATCTTCTGTCATCCCCCTGAACAGATAGAGGTGCCAGCGTTGACCCATAGCTGAGTCGGAACCTCCCTCTGTGGCAGGGAGGAGGATAGCAACCAGAGATCTCATTGCACTGTGTACAGGTTCAGGGACCCCACATGGAGCTCTAAGGGAGGGTGCCTTGAATTCAGTGTCCAAAGGCTGGATTGTTCTGAGGGCACACAGTGCTTCTCTTAAAATGATGAGGAGCTTTATGAACCCTAAATGGCACCATTTTCTTTCTTCATCTGCTTTGGAAAAGGCCTCCTGTCAATCCTTCCAAGGCCTTAGGAATGTAGGGGGGATGGGACATGGGGGACACATCCCTCAGGGCAGAGCCCTCATTACTGAGTAAAAAGGTGTTGCTCAACTTGCCTTCTTGCCTAAATGTCTGTGTGGGGAGGGTATGGGGCTGTCCCACCCACAGCCCACCCACAGCCACCCAGGTCTTTCCTCACGGCGGCGTACACACTGATGTTCTGCAGGAGTGTAGGCCTCCTGGGGTAGACAGCCCTGCTCACTGAAGCCTCAAAACCCACCCAGGCTCTCCTTAGCTTTTCTGTCCTGCTGGGGTGGGTGTGGGGCTCTGAAGTGACCACACCTCTAATAAAAAAAAACACAGCTCAGACCTGTCCAGGTGTTGAGCAGTTTGGTCTGCTGAAATTTCGAACAAGAGCTGAGAATGACACCTCAGCCTCTCTGCCCAAGTTTCTTTCTCAGTGAACTTCCTGGGCTCTGACTCGTATCCTTGTGCTCCCTGGCTTTTTAGTTTTTGGTCAAGTCCTCTCCTCAGTTCACAAAGCCCAGGCTGGCCCTGAACTCTTATAATGTAGCTGGTGATGACTTTGAGTTTCTGCTCACCCTGCTTCTGCAGAACTCAAGTATTTTTATCAGCTGAGTTATCACTCCCAGGCCATAACAGGATTTTGTTTTCTTGAGACAGACTCCGCCCGCTTCGACCTGGCGGACCTCACTCAATTTTGTGGTGATCTTCCTGCCTCTGATTCTTGAGTCCTGGGAAGACAGATGTGCTCCAGCATGCCAACACCAGGCTGCTGCTGCTGCTTATTACAACTATTATTATTTAACGGACGCTTTGGGGCTGCAGAGGGGGCTCCGCTCAGCAGTTAAGAGCACGTGCTTCTCTTGCAGAGGACCTGAGTTTGGTTTCCAGGACCCACACCAAGTGGCCCCACCTGTAACTCCAGCTCCAGGCAACCCAACACCCTCTCTGGCCTCAGTGGCTACTGCACTTAAATGCACATCCCACACACAGACATGCATAGTTAAAAATAAAAATGTAAATAAGAGCCAGAAGCAGTGGGGCAAAGGCTTCATGTGTTGCTAATCGCCACATGTAGGGAAAGGATTTCTGCTTCTGAGCAGGGAAACACGCACCCTAGCATTGCTTTTCACAGAGAAGGATGCTATTTAGCCTGAGTAGCCAGGAGAAAAGTTTGCCGATCCTTTCCCTAGTGGCCCTGGCCTCTTTTGGTAACCATCTTGTCTGGACTCTAGAGAGAGAGAGAGAGAGGAATCCAAATGATATCTTCCAAATGATAAACCAAAGCTAGGTGTGGTGGCACTTGCCTTTTATCCCAACATTCCAGAGACAGGAGGTCTCTAAGAACTTGAGGCCAGCCTGGTCTACAAAACAAGTTCCTGGACAGCCAGGACTATATAGAGACTGTCTCAAGAAATGGAACAGAGTAACAGAGTCTTTCCCATTTTTTCATTTTTGTAGTGCCGTGGGTTGAACCCAGAACCTCACACATGTTAGGCAAGCAGGCTACCTAATGGTCCCAATGAGAACCAAAACCTTTGATTCAGCTCAGGAATCTTTCAGTTCCTGTACTCACAGAGAAGAGCACTAACATTCACTCCCACTATCTAGCCTGGTAGTTTTCAATCCTGGGTACACATCACTATCACCCAGAGAGTTCTCAGTTCTGTCCACTATACTAAGCTGCTGAAACTGGCTGGGTGCTGGCATTTTATTTGTGTGTGCACAGGCATGCACACGTGCAGAAGCCAGAGGAGAATGCTTGGAGTCCTGCTCTATTGCTTTCCACCTTATTCCCTTGAGACAGGGGTCTCCCACTGAAGCTGGAGCTAGACTGGCACCCAGCCGTCTCCTTTACCCACAACGCTAGGGATTCAGCTCTGTGTGCGGCCACAGCTCACTGGGCATTCAAACTCGTATCTTCATGAGCAGTTTCTCTCACCCACTGAGCCATCTCCCCAGCTTGGCACTGGTATCTCAAAAAGAAGCTTAGATTATTCTTAAAAGAATATTGTCTTTTAAGGTTTCCTTTTAAGTGTGTGTGTATGTGTGTGTACATGAGTGCAGGGACCCTCAGAGGCTAAAGGCATTAGATCCCCTGGAGATGGATTCACAAGCACATAAAAGCTGCCCACCATTGGTGCGGGGAGCCCAACTCCAATCCTCTGCAAGAGCAATGTGTGCTCTTAGCTATTAACCCACCTCTCAAGGTGAACCCAGCATTGGTGCTGGGACCCAAACTTAGAGCCTGACGAGGTGGTTCTAGAATGGACCACTGCAGGCCTGCTGAGGGCCTGCTTCTCTATTCTCTAGATTGCCCGACCTCCGGGTACTTTTGTGGACTCAGAATACCCATTCCCATACCCCACCCCCACCTTTTTTAAACAAAGCTGGGAGTTGAGCATCATGGTACACACCTGTAACTCCAGCACTCAGGAGGCTGAGGCCAAAGGATTACTATCCAGTTCAAAGCCAGCCTGAGTCTACAGCATGACCCTTTCTCAAAAAATCCAAACCACCAACCAAACATAAAGAGCAATGTTGAGGATTGAACACAGAGGCCTCACAAACGCTAAATAAGCAGATATGTGTGTGTTTTGTTTTTTGAGACAGGTTTTTTTTTGTAGCCCTGGGTGTCCTGGAACTCAGGAGATCTGCCTGCCTCTGCCTCCTGAGTGCTGGGATTAAGTGCAGGCGCCACAATTGCCCATCTAAGTTGGGGCTCTTATGTCTAAACTAGACCTTCAGATCCCCTCTCCAGACATCTATGGGCAAGTTTTCATCAGTCCCAGCTGTTATGAATGACAGGGTCACACAGCACACAGCAATGCACAGATGAGTCTACCATTCTGCCTGATGACTCCTGATGACTCTTGGTGACTTGAAGGCTGCGGGTGAATGGAACTGAAACAATGTTGCTCAGCCAAGAGTCAGTTCCTGCCCCGTGCTGAGGAGTATCAAGGTCGCCATGTCAGAACTCACACCTACCACCTCTCCTCCAGGGCTGGAAAAGGAATTGGGTTTGTCTTCCTTGGCATGAAAGATGGGCTCAAAGGGGCAGAAAAGCTCTGGGAAAAATAAAAGGAACAGTCAGAGTGTCCACACAGTCACACTGTTTATTGCTGTGATGTTGCGAAGACACCATGCAAATGCCAAAGTGCACTGAGTATTGCGTAGCCTCTCGAATATGTAAGAATGTACGAGCGTAGACCCTCTCCACCAAGATCTGCTCCTGGCCCCACACCAGCACCCGTGTGCATTGGCGAGAGCTCTCTCACACACACACACACAAACGCACAGACACACATACACGAACACACACAGACACGCACAGGAGTGCATGATGTTCTTTGGAGCAGCAGAGAAATCCTCCCCCGCTAGGAGGAATGCGGGAGAGGGAGAGGTCATGGAGTTTCCTCCTCTTTCATGTCACCTCCTGGCAACCCGTGCCCGGCTTCGAGAGGCGGCATGGGCAGGAAAAGGAAGCAAAAGGGGCTCTGGCCTGCTCCTCCTTGCCCAGGAGCGAAGCCAACAACTGCAGGCCTGTTGTGAGGTAATGCCTGGCGCCGCCCGTGTGCTCTTGCAGGTTGAGACAGATTCAGGCCGGGTGGGGTGGCAGCCCCAGCCATGGAGGACATAAGAAGAACAATACCAGAGCTATCTGCTTGTGTCTCAGCTCCTCCTCACTAGACTTCAGGGTCCAGAGTTGGGGTGCCCTGTCCCATCTGTACCTTGAGTTCCTGTGCTCCCCAGGATTGGATTCCACTGGGATGCCTGGGTGCTGGGCAGGACTCAGAGTGCAAGGCCCACCACCCCTGGTCAATGACCTCTCTGCCCAGGTGTTGTGGACTTGCCGGGGCGGGTTTAGAAGGCGCCAGAGAGGAACCAGCTGGAACTGGAGCCTGGCACCCAGCTCCAAGGCTCTCTCCTGCCCTGGCTGCAGCTGCGCCAAGGCTCTTGTTAGCAGCTGCCCCCGCCTGGGCGCGGAGCATGCTTTGGGCATCTGCCATGAGGCAGTTGGGAATTTTGCAACAGTCTCCAGGAAGGCAGAGCAGGAAGAGGGGGCTTCCCTCCGTCTCCTTCTCTGTCTCCCTCACTATAGTTCGCACCAAGCAAGCCATGAAGAAACTTGCCGAGTCTCAAGCAGCTTCCATGATACCTAACATGACAGACAGGGTTCTGGACCCAACTCTCTGGACTGCTTTCTTGCCAGCTTCAAAGGCAGCAGTTCATTTCCCTTGCCCCTGGAGGTCTCTCACATGTGGCCCTGGTCACAGTATAGCAGGGATAGTCACACAACACATGCAGGGCGGGGCCTAGGTGCTCACTGGCCATCTCGAAGTTGCTCCAAGAAGGCCCCAAGAATACCACTGCCTTAGAAGCCAGCACCTCCCTGAAACCTCAGCTCAGGTGATCAACAGGTGAGGTCTCCTGCAGCTGAAGTCCACAGCATGGAGGACAGAGTGGCAGCAGAGCCAGGCAGGAGGCCACTTGTGGGCAGAAATACAGGCAGGAGTCTTACCCCGCCCATCATGCTCCTGGCTCAGACTTGCCCTTCCGGGGGTGGAGAGCAGTTCAGGTAAGGACCATGTGGGGGAAACTTGACAAATGCAATGGCGGCCAGCTCCTTGCAGAATTCCTCAAGTACTACCACGCCCTGGAGTAGGGTCTGATGGTCCAGACTGTGGAGAGACAGTGGTGGGTGGTGGAAGATGGCATGACTGGGCATCAGCAGTGGGCTTATAGCATGACAGCCCATGTCCACAAGGCTTGATTTAGGATAGGGTCCTCAGTACTGCCTTCCCAACCCCACTGGGCATCCACTTCCCTTGGGTACTTACTGCTCTCCTGGAATCTGGCCCATCAGTTGCTTGCGCACCAGCAGCAGTTTACCAGGAAACTGGGGTACCCTCTGAATTCTCTGCATTAAGTCCCCGATCACCTAGAGTTCAGAGAGGACTAAGAGGAGACCTGGCCATGCCCCACAGCTGCCTCTGGCTCTACCATCCCATATGGAGGTGGGAGGATGGGATTGGAAAACCCGTGCTTTTCCCGACACTAATAAGGGTGATGACTCCATTCCCAACCCTT